TCCCAATGCAATAGTAGCATCCCAAGTTTATATACGCTACGTAGGATTGCCAACCTGATCCAACCGCAACACCTACCACACGAGTCCAAAAATTAACACAAAACGTTGATTCAGTATACAAAGAATTTATTTTCCAAAATTTTACAAATGAAATAAAAATATTACCTGAAAGAACTGGTTGGATGCTGTTAAGAAGAACCGTGAAAGCTAGTAGAATGGAGAGTTTATTAACTGCCATTAAGACTGCTTCACTTGATGAAAATATCAAGGCGATTTGGTTATGGAAAAACATTATTATCACCCAAAAAAATAATCCAATGATTAATGATTGTGTCACTGATACAATCGTGGCGAGTCTTGCTCCTTTGCCATTACCTGCTCCTAATTCGTTTGCCACACGAACACTACAACAATTAACATAAACAAATAAAAACGCCATGTTTAATTATACATCAATTAAGTATATGTTAGGTTGTAAATGATTTCATATATAAACTTCTTTAGTTGTAACAACTTTTTCACAGTTTATTGAATCGATCTTTCGGTCGGATATCATTGACATGTCCTTCTTTATTTGTTCGTAATATTAATCACATCTTTGAGGTTTAGACTTCAGTGATTGTGCTTACTTTTTCAACAGAGAAAATTGTCAGCTTGTTACTGAAACATTATAAGTTATTATAGTTATTATAATCATATGACTTAGCTCTTCCTATTATTTAAGGTGTACTTAAACTCTTAGTTAATTAATTTCTTGTTTTGTTTTAAGCACTATACTCCCCTCGTTTCATATTAAGTGTCGTTGTAGAGAATTTTTGCGTTACAAAATAAGTGTCGTTTTTGGTTATCAATGCAAAATTTATTAATTTTATTATGTAATTTGTTCTTCTATTAGTTAAAATATGGTTAGGTGTATGGGTAACTATGTTTTTATATATGAAATATGTAAAATTAATTGTTTTCTTAATCCGTGTGCACAACTGTAGAGTGACACTTATAATGAAACATAGGGAGTATAACCTAATATTCCCTCTGTCCCTTAATAATTGACGTTTTAGGCTTATGCACGTATATTAAGAAATATTTAATTTTTATCATTTTCTATACAAAAACATCATTAAGTATTGGGAAAATCTCTAAAATAGCTCTCTTTTAAATTTTTATCACAAAAATATACCTCAATAATTAAAATGACCAAAATAACATTTTTTATTTTGAAAATTTTAAGTTTTCTTAATTTTTTAAAATTCGAAACTATATCCCAACAACTCACTCCTCAACTTTAAACCAAAAAATCTAGAATTAGTTAACCTAAGAGGTATAAATGTATATTTAATAAAACATTTAAGTGTTATTTTGGTCATTTTAATTGTTAAGGTCTATATTTGTGATAGAAATTTATTTAGGTTTATTCTAATCATTTACCTAACTATAATTCAACCAATAATAAAATAGAAGGTTTTATATCATTGGTCATTTGGCATTAATTAGTATTAAATTTTACATTGAAATTGAAAAAGTCAAATAATTTGGAACAAAAAAAAATCTCCTAAAACGTCAGAGGGAGTATTTGTACGTTTACTATTTTGAGTTATGTTGTAGGATTATCTCGAACCCCACCAGAATGGCACGGTTAGGAGGATGGGAAACAGTTCGCAATTTATTGTAACTTTGAATTTTATGGTCCTGTTAACACCAACCGATAGTTAGTTGAATATAAGTAGACTCAGTCGAACCAGATCTAGTTAGATCACAAACCGGTTTAGAAATTAGCAATCGAGAAAATAGGGTTTTACCCGGTTCCGGCGAAGAAAGCAAGAGGAATCATATTCTCCCAGCCATTTATCGTCATACTGCCAAAAATATTGTTTCTTAAGTTAGTTAAATAATGTATAATAATGATTATGAAATTATACAAATTATGGCAACAACCTAAAATGATGCGATTAGGTCATATACGGACTATGTTAAAAGACTTTTCCTTATGGAAAAATGTAAAGAAGCGACTAACCATATGGACAAAGAGTCAACAGCGATTCGAGCATTCTGAAGATTCCCAGTCATTATAATCAAAATCCGATAATACCAATTTTCCAAACTGCCCAAGAAAATGGAAAATATCTACTGTTAGGTAGTTGTGTGGTACACATTAGTTAATAGTATCACATATGTGTAAATTGGTACCAAAGCATGACGCCTGAAGAAGCTGAGAGTTTGACAAACTCCCAAAGTCCGGTGAAAGCTTCGGAGGAGAAGCCAGTCCAAGTGAGTGGACAGCCGCCGCAAACGGAGTATGCTAATAGAATAAGAATGTTGACCCACCAAGAGATACTAACCGTAGCCATAGTTCCGACGGCACCTAGTTTTAGCCCGTCCACGAACAGCCAACATACTAGAAAATGAACCACAAGTCCAACACCAGCCCCAAATGCAGGCACCTAACAGCCCCAAGGAAAAAAAAATGTTTATTCATTTATTTGCATGTATTGTTTAGTAAATAATTAATCCACGGACTATTTACAATATAATAAGCAGAATTAATTTGTTACTTTGCAAAGTGTATACGTTAAACGCAAATAAAGGAAACCATTAGGTTAGATATTTGCATTTTGCAATGATAGATTATTGAAAACTGAAAATAATATTTGTTAATTTTTTTGGCTAACTCCAACGATAGTTTATTAATGGGGTTTTGAACCAATAATAAATTTTTTTTAAAAAAGTCAAAAAGAAAATAATTGTGTCATGAAGAAGTTCTTACAGTAAATTTTTGGACAACCCATTCTTAAACTCTTAACTATAGATGTCCATCTTTAATTGGACCATATTTTTATAAAATACAAAAAAAAATCATTGTTAAAGTATTAATACTTTTCATCACTAATGTTGGTATTACACTATTGTAGATGCTCTAAACACAACTTAAACTACTTATGTTTAAAACAATTACTATATTGATTACTCACGTGATTTTTGAGCTGGCATTGGAGGAAACGCTGAAGAGGAAAAGACAAACAGAAGGCGAAATGAAGAGGAATGACCCAAAGGGAGACGACACCGGAGAGCTTGGCGATATCGTCCGGTTGCCCCAAAAATTTCAGAACCGGAGTTGTAAAAAGATAAGTGGGTAACAACAAAACACAACAAAAGAAGAGAACAATCCAAGAACGTTGCATATAAACTCCCAACATGTGATACTTCTTTGCTCCAAACGCTTGTCCACACAACGTTTCCAACGCACTGGCCATTCCAAGCTGCACCGCGTTTATATTAGGTATTCTCATGTTAGAAAATATAGTATTAGAATTAAATTAGTATCATACAAAGAGGCCGAAGTTGAAGCCAACGACGACGTTATAAACGATGGAGATTGCAGCTAGCTCAAGATCTCCAAGATGACCAGCGAAAGATTGAGTTATTACAAGCGTTGAATATACGGTTAAACGAGTGAATATTGCCGGAGCAACGATTTGCCATAGCTTCTTTGTTTCAACCCAAAGTTTCTTACTCAATCCTTCATTGTCTTCCAACAGTGGAAACCTCGACTCGGATTCATCTTCTTCTCCTCCTCTTCCTCTCATCGCTAGTTGTTATTATATGTTTTATTTCTTCGGGATGAAAATATTATAAAAGGGTGTAACTAAAGCTGGAGACAAGAGAAAAGCAGCGTGTGTGTGTGAATTGTCATTTGATTTTTCCTATGAATATATAAAACGATGTGTCTACCTACTGCTTTGATTTGATTTTTGACTTAATTTTTCATAAGTGTGACAACTAAATAGAAAGACTGTATATTATTAATTCAAAAATTGATGAATTTAAATATACACACACACATATATATATATATAACCATGAGAAACCGACGGAAAAGTCTGAATTGAGCTTGTGTCCGTTTGTTGCTGTGGCATCTATCTATCTATGCTAAGCTAACATTACTTTACACAATGTCTTTATAAAGGAACTTAACGAGAAACAAGATCAAACTAACCTGAGTTCCGCCAAAAGAATGAAGACAAAAAAATCTGGTATCGTGACGACAACAGATAAAAAGTAATTATTATTTATAGTAAAGTGTTAAAGCAAGCTACGCGACATTTGTTTGATAATATTAAATATTGCATTTTTACAATAGCAATGCATGTTAAGAGTTTATACATTTTTTGTAAACTTATAACCCAGAACAATGTTGCTAAATATAATTGTTTTTAAGAAAAAAATGTTTGTAAGACGTTTCACAAATTTTTATGTAAAAATTAAATTTGTTCTTTGTAACCATTTGTATTCTATAGTAATATTTTGTAATTTTTTTGAATTATTTATGTTTAATGTAAAACTTCGAAGATACAGTTTATATGCTTGAAAAACTTTGCACTTTTAGTTAGAAAATCTATATAATAGAATATGAGTAGTTTTTCTTGTTCTAACAATGTGGATTAACTCATTTCTATATTGATGTCTTGTCCTGTAATTAAATAGCTCAAACAACTTTTTGGGTTCACTTATATATATAATATCCCCATAAGTAAATCGTGGAGAAGAAAAAACGGGCTCGACTGCCTAAATATGAATGCAAACAGAACACAATAAATTCGTAAATCAGATGGAAGTTGGATAGAAATCAATAATAACTTGGTTTTTTATTCTTCTAATACGTGGGAGAACTAGTGACACAAGTGTAAGACATGAATGACCAAGGGTCGAGAGAAAGAAAATAAATAAATAGATAGATAGGCCGACATTTTTGTCCTCCTTATTTATTGGTTTAACGATTTCATTTAGAGCTGTATTTTTGGAACGCGTAGATAAAATATTGGGCCTTGTCTTGTATTTTAATGTGGTTTTAAAAATATTCTTATAATGATATAAGGCCCACTTACTAAAACAAACTAACAAGTAACGTTTTGTGTTTTCTCAAAACCGCCAATAATTTTTCTGTAACAATTATGAATGCTCAAGAATTTTCTTCTTCTTGTGACTTGCAGAGAGCAACTTTTTTTGAGAGCAACTTTTTTTAAGAGCAACTGTATAACTGAAACGGTTTCTAGGTACAATTTGATAACATGATATTCAAAATTTAAAATACAAAACAAAGTCGCAAAATTATACAGCTCATTTGATTATGTTGGACCATTTGTTAACACGCGTATTAGCCTTTTGCGCCTGCAATTTTTAAATTTTCAAAAAAATTATCGAGATTGAAAGGAATAACAAACGAAAGACAAAACTAAAATTAATAATTTTAAAAAAAAATATTACCTCTTTTTCCCAATCACATCTCATTGTGATAAAAGCTAAGATCATTGTCTGGATTGCAGTTCCTCCAAAAATCATACCAGCCCAAATACCCTATAGAAACACAAAACATCATACAGTTAGTCTGAAACAAAATATTTTAGTGACCTAAATCTATATAAAAGGTTTTAAGTAAATTAATAAAAAGGTGAAGGAAAAATGTAATTACCATGACACCAAAGTTAAAAACCCAGCCCATTACAAACCCAAATGGAACTCCTATGCAATAGTAACATCCCAAGTTTATATAAGCCACGTATGATTGCCAGCCCGATCCAACCGCAACACCTAATTAAAAAAATGAAAAGTCAACACAAAATCATTGACTTCTTATATGAAAAAAGAAAAATTTGTGACGTACCGGAAAGAACCGGTTGGACACTGTTAAGCAGAACTGTGAAAGCTAGCAGAATTGAGAGTTTATTAACGGCCATTAAGACTTCTTCACTTGAAGAGAAGATCCAAGCGATTTGGTTATGGAAAAGCATTATGATCACCCAGAAAAATAATCCGATGATTAGAGACTGTGTCACTGATACGATAGTTGCAAATTTTGCTCCTCTCCCGTTGCCTGCTCCTAGTTCATTTGCCACACGTACACTGTAATAGTTGATGTATAATCAGCCAAACATAGTTGAGTGTTTTCTATAATACTTATTCAATCAGGTTTATAATTAAATGTAAAATATAAGGCTAGTGTTATGCCAAACACTTTATACTTTGCATATCTGCTTCACACAAATAAAAAACAAGAAGCTATAGATTAATCTCTAACTTCTGTCCTCGTACAGTCTGATATTCAGACAACACGACAACTTGGGAAAATAAACAAGAAGAATCAAACAAAAAAACGGAAGAAGATAAAAGAAACCAGACGAATGTAGCCAAATATGCTAATATTAGGTTTTTAATTTCATTATTTTTTTTTCCAGAAAATACTTATGTTCTTTACCAAAAGTACCATATTCCTTCCTTGTATTAGAAGATGTGTAGTGTGATGTTTTGGAAATAATGGCTTGAAAACGAAAGAGGAAGATGTGAAATGTTTTCTTGCGAATAATCTAATTAACAGTACAATAGTATACTTCAACATGCATGTACATTAACTGCGAACCAGAAACGCATTGAAGATTCAATAGTACAATGAAACCTCTATAAATTAATAATGTCGAGACTGCACCAAAAATTTTATTAATTTATAGAAATATTAATTTATCAATATATTATTTGAACCAAAAATTCAGTTTGAAACTATAAAATTATATTATTTTATAAAGATATTTTATATATATTAATTTATCGAATATTAATTTATAGAGGTTATATTGTACTATTAAACTCAATTTAATCAACTACATATGTTAAATACCATACTTTTCAAATGTAGTTGAGAAAAGAAGAGATGTCACTTTTTCATGAACCCGACATACTATTAGCTAATAATTCTGCTATCACCCACCCTATAATTTAACGGCCCCGTTGCAATAGGCAGATGCTTTACTTTATATGCTACTATAAAAGTGGATTAAACCGAGTAGATCTAGTTAGACCATAATCGTAAATCGGTTTAGAAATTAGCAAATAGAGAAGAAAGGCTTATTTTACCCGGTTCCGGCGAAGAAAGCAATAGGAATCATCATCTCCCAACCATTTATCGACATGCTGCCAAACGTTTTGTTTCACAAATTAATCATACATACAAATAAAGAGATTATAAAATAAAATATACAGTTGTTTAGAGATAGTTCATTAAGAGGAAAATAAAGACTAGTCAGCTATAGTATAAGTCGTGTAAAACGATGGGATAAGATTTACATGATTGATGGCTTTTTCTTCTATTATTATAGTACGAAAAGCAAATTAAAATAAACCAAAAACCATACGAGGTAAAGAAACGATGACTTAGTGACTTACCATATAGACAAAGAGTCAACAGCTATTCGGGCATTCTGGAGATTTCCTGTCATTATTATCAAAATCCGATAATACCAATTCTCCAAACTGTCCAAAAAACACATATCTACCGTTAAAAACTATGTCTAGCCCATTGTAAAAAGTCACAAAATAGATATATACCAAAGCATGACGCCTGAAGAAGCAGAGAGTTTGAGAAACTCCCAAAGTCCCGTGAATGCTTCTGAGGAGAAGCCAGTCCAAGTGAGTGGACAGCCACCACAAACCGAGTAACCTAATGTAATAAGAACGTTGACCCACCAAGAGATACTAACCGTAGCCATAGTCCCCACAACTCCGAGTTTAAGCCCATCAACGAATAACCAACACACAAAAAAGTGAACCACCAATGCAATCGCAGCCGCAACCGCAGTCACCTAAATAGACCCACAAAACAAAAACTAAGACTTGGTCATATAAGAAAGACTATTATATATAAACTATTGTTACTTTTTGCCTTTGTACTAAACATTTTTTTGTGATAAACTTGTAAAAACATACATAAATACTCTCTTCATTACAATGTAAATGTCTTTTTAGTATTTTAAACATAACAAACATTTCTGCCAGAAAAAAAAAAAAATTCCTAAAGAAATATATGCGTTTAAAACAATATCAATATTACGTACCTGGTTTTTGAGCTGGCATTGAAGAAAACGTTGAAGCGGAAAAGACAAAGCGAAAGCAAAATGAAGAGGGATGACCCAAACGGAGACAACACCAGAAAGCTCAGCGATATCATCAGGCTGACCAAGAAATTTGAGAACCGGAGTTGTGAAAAGATAAGTGGGTAACAACAAAACACAGCAAAAGAAGAGAACAATCCAAGAACGTTGCATATAAACTCCCAACATATGATATTTCTTTGCTCCATACGCTTGTCCACACAACGTTTCCAACGCACTCGCCATTCCAAGCTGCACCACGTACGTTCATATTAGGTATTCTCACAAATATTAAAATTTAACAAACAAGAAATTTTTTTAGAAAATGAAAACCAACCAAGAGGCCGAAGTTGAAGCCAACGATGACAGTATTAACGATTGATATAGCTGCGAGTTCGAGATCTCCGAGGTGACCAGCGAATGCTTGAGTTATTATAAGCATAGAATATGTGGTTATACGAGTGAATATCGCAGGACCAACGACTTGCCATAGCTTCTTTGTTTCAACCCAAATCCTATTCTTCAATCCACCACCGTTTTCCTCCGTAGTTTCATGGCTTTTCAGAAGAGGGATCCTCGACTCTTGTTCTTCTCCTTCTTCTCTTCCTCTCATCGTTAGTACTATTTTCTTTCTTGGCTTTCTTTTTCTTTCTTTTTCTTTTTTTTTTTGTGTTTGGAAAGATGTATAAATAGAAAAAAGGAGAGAAAAGAAAGGTGGACACTAGAAAGATAAGTAGTGTCGGAATTGGCTTTTCCAATGTATATACTTACAAAACGATTGGTCTACTTCTACTGTCTAATTAAAAATTCTAAATATTTAATTTGATACTATTAAGATTCTAAATATTTAATTTGAATTTTAAATTCAGTGAGTTTACAATATACTATGTGTCATTCACCTAATCATAATGGATTCCAATTGTTGTGTTTGCCAAATATGCAGATAAACATGTCCACGATACTTGCTTAATTATAAATTATAATAATACACTTCGTAATATTTAAATGTCTTGCAAAAAAATATATATATAATTCGGATGTTATTTATAAAATTTTATAAATATTTGGCAATCTTGAAACACCGCATTCTGCGGCAGGACTCTATTATCTCTATGTTTTATAAATGTTTATAACTCGGATGTTATTTATAAAATTTTATAGTAAGGTTAAGAATTCGATTGCTTCAGATTTGCGATCTAGTAAGTTATATAAAATCAGATTGCTCAGATTTGCGATCTAATTAGTTATACTAATAAATTAATATATAAAGACTGAATAAAGGAAGAACCCCAAAAAAACACTGAATAATGGAAAGCTACACAAATTAAGTTACATTTGAAAATTTGAGCAACCACAACATATGCTAGGCACGTGGTATACTATATGGTTTGTATTTAGTTTTGAGCAACGTCATTTTAACCACATGCGTCAGGTCCCTTGTGATCTCATTGCTTACCCAATGATAGGTATGTGTCTAATTGACAAATGCCTAAAATAATATTAAAACATTCCCTTCCTACTATAAGGATTGTAATTAGCCAATTTTACATTTTTCAGAAAGTATATTCTAACTTTCCAAGTTATATACTTTCACTACAGCCAGGAATATTTATATTTCAAATTACAGTTGTATAAAACACAAGTTTCTATTTGTTCAGATTTTTTAATATTTCTCTCTCTCTCTCTATATATATATATATATATGCATGTTTGACTGATTCAACCGCTGTCATTCATGCACATCGAAAACTAAAAAATCTGAACAAATAGAAACGGTTGGATTTTGCTAGCTGTCGATAATTGCACTTTTTACATTGTAATGAGTTTTGAAAAATACATCTTAACAATTTTTTTTTAATATATAACCAAGACATTTGAATATATATCATTTTGGTTTGAGGTTTAGAAAATGTTAATTACTCTTTTTCATGTGTCTGTATTCAAACTCAAGGTTTAAATGGGGTTTTAAAGGTCACCTAGTACATCCGTATTAATTGAACTAACGACACCAAATAACTCTTTTTAAAAGATACAACCTGCTGAATAGTTTGGTTGGCATATCAACTAGGAGAAGGAGTATAACGTATGGTTTTGCCTTGTGGCAGATTATGATCCACGTTCATCTTGTATCTATCTACGATTCTACATTACATAGTAATGAAATTTACATTTTATAAAAAAAACTATAACGTATGGTGAGTTGTGAAATATGAATGCAGACCAAAAACAATGAATATACAAATATAAGGTGGAAGTTAAAGCGTGTAGAGCTGAAACAAAATGGGTTTTTGTTATTTTCTGAACGTGGAATCACTGATAATAGTGTCCGAGCGACGAGTGTCATGAGACATGGTCCATAAATGTGTGGCTTATAGATAAATTAATTTGAGGTGTGGATGTAAATACTCTCATGTTTTCTCCTCGTGATTTGTTTGTTCACCAGTTTCGTTTCCTATATCGCGAGTAGGATCTAAAGGTCCATGATTTTTAGATTATCACAATCAATAATAATACAGCATATCAAATTACTTTTGTAAAAAATTTGTTTCAATCTTTACGAGTTACAATATATCTTTAAACGGGAGTCTTGAACTATCTGAAACTTTTATACGGAGTCAATATCCTTCTTTGAAGTTTTTTGTATTTAAGATTTTGCCAACCTTATAAAATCATAGCAATATAGTATACAGCACCCGCTCTTGGCATGTGTCAGCAGTTCAGTGGCACAAGATCCAAAAAATTTCAACAAAATCTTAGCTATAATTTAAGTCATTTATCTAAAATTTAGGGCTCTCTCTGCAAAATCTGTTTTAATTGTTCCTAAAAAGTTATAATGTGTACAAGCAGTGGCGGAGCCAGCCGAATCATTTAGAAGGGTCAACTTCCCTATAAACATCTATTTTACATGGGTCAATGAGTTAAATTTGTGATTTTTTTCAGTTTCTTCATCAAAATACAAGCAAATTTTTTTTGCTCCTAAAAAACCATGTGGGTCAAGTGACCCATGTTCTCATGCACTGCCTCCGCCACTGTGTACAAGGTCCACAAATATAGTGAGCCGGGTCTGATAGTATATTGCTAATAGACATGGTCGGTGGCTCATTCGGTATCGATTCGGGTAATTCGGATTTTCAGATTTTCGGTGTTATATTCATAAATACCATTCAGTTTTTATTAATTATTGGATTTAGTTTGACTCCTTTTTAGGTTCGGCTCGGATCGGATCTAACCAATGTTTAAAATTGTCTAAAAATAACTTTTTTTAAACCTCAAAAATTAACAATTTATTTATAACTCTAATTAAAAATTAGTTAAACTATCTAAATTAACTAAAAAGTATTCAAAATAACAAATAAAACAAACTACAATATTATTTTGAATACTCTGAAATATACAAATTACCTTAACAGATATAAAAACATTAACATAATTAACTAGTTTTGGATATTTTTGTAAAACAGTTTGGATTCGATTTTTCCGACTCGTTAAAGTTGGTACTTTGGGTTGAGTTAAAAACGCCCAGACCTATTACTAGAATAGACTTTACTAACCTTGACAACAAAATAGACTTACTAACCAATAAATGTGTTGGACCAGCAATAGCCCAAATAAGGGGGTTTTAGCCCATCTGTAAAGATTGGGCTGGACTGGAGCGGCTCTGTTCAGAGAGGTTGATTTTATTCACAAATAGCCCACTGAAGCAGTGCTGAAATTTTCCTGTTCATTTCAGCGTAAAATTATTAGTCTAGTGTAATTGGGTGCGTAAATTACTGGATTTGGTTGTGTGTGGTGGCTTTGATATAACCAAGATTGACAAAAGGAATGTGTAGATAGAAGCTAACCAGAGCTTTTTGTATGTTGACATAGTTTTAAATCCCCCTCATATTGACCAAATATGACACTGAAGATACTTTTCTTTTATAGTTAAATCTTTATATATGGACCATGCATAGAGACTGTAACTTTGTATCTTAAGAAAATTAAGATATGTCTCTTCTTGTTATTAGTCTTATGAGCTTATATGTGTCTTCTGCAGACACTCGAGTTTGATTAAACAAGAGAGATGCCACTTTATATAATTATTACTTTTTTTTATTTGAAGAAAAATGATGGGTGAAAAAAGAATGGAGGTGCACTAAAGAAGAGGAGTTAAATTATTGTCCTTTTGATGTAAGCATTAATGGTCAAATGGATTCTCATCATAATCTAAAAGTTCCACTTGTAACCAAAGTTTTACTTCTTTTTCAATCTACTCTCAAGCCCTATTAACTTAGCCTTGTCGGTCACTTTTTAGTCTCTTTATTCTTTTTAATGGGTCATAATTTATATTTTATTTATTTTTAAATTATATAAAATTGATTGAACATATCGAATTACCAATCGTATGATCACCCCCTCTTTGAAACTACATTTTAGACTAGATATGTAATAGATGTCAAAACATGGGTCGTGACAATTCAGCATTATAAATCATCATAAAGTTGGATTCTCACGCTTGCAAAGCTTTAACTGTTTTGTTTTTGTAAAGTTAACAACGAAGCATAATAATAATAATATAGTCAATAACGTGCTTAACATCTCAAATCAATTGTTTCATTCGGCCTCATTCAATTGTTTCATTCGCCCTCATTTTTGTTGTGTTAGATAATATTGCAACTTATGTTTATAATTTCTACTTAAACATCTTTTTAAAAAAGGAATTTCTATACTCTAATTTAAACTTTGTCGTCTCAAGAAGAGATCATTTCATCCATCGTGTTATAAATTAGTGTTTTTGTTATATGAATACAATGAACGGAGACCAATACTCTGTGTGTCTCCACGTAGGAAAGCGGTTTCCCGCCAGCTGACAAGTGAACGTCATCTCAAACGTCTTTCAATATCCATTTGCTCATGTCTGATCCCTTCATCAGAGTCGGTGTTTAGTTTATAATTTTTGTGCGTTAACATCAAATTTTACTTTACGTTTTACCTTTCGTTTCATGTCAAATGACAGTTTTATTCACTCTTAATCTTTACTCGAGGCCCTACAAAACATTCGCATTTATAATTTAATGCGACACAACTGTTATTCAAATCTTATAATACTGTTATTCTGAGAGGAACAGTCAGCTATACTATTTCTCTAAAAAAAATGTGGCTAAATTATTTCTATAAAGTTTGATTTAGATCTCCACAATTTTTTTTACTGGTTTTCAGTTTATTTTCGCAAGATCGTGTTGTTTATTCAATGAGACTGGATCTATAATTGAAAATTAATGACTGCGAATGTGAGTTTCCATGTCGAGTTCTTGTATTTCCGCAAGATCTTGTTTATTGGTATATTACTATACATAATATTTCCTTTCAAGAATATATAAATAAGAAATGTTAGTGTTTGGAGTAAAGACTTTATTAAGTCACATCCATCATATTTTCAGGGTTATTACAAAATTCATCATGCAATTTCGTGTTGATAAGACAAATGACCCTCGCCTGAATTTAGGCAGAGACTAGTCATTGAGAATTAAGATAGATAAGTGCATTATTACTTGATCAATTGTTTGATAGTATAAAAATAAGAAACGAAAAAACTGGTGCCGTAGATTTAACTTAAGCACGTGTTAATTAATCAGCGGGTTATGGGCTGAGAGTTGATCACCTCATACGTTTCTTCATCGGACTTTCGCAAATTATCTCCACGTACTTATGTTTTCTTAACACGTACTAATGTATTAAACTATGTTTTATTTGATGATCCAAAATAAAACAAACGAATTGTTAATTATGTAGTTAAATAATTCTGGTTGCAAAAAGAAGAGTAAATAATTCTGAAAAGTTGTCAACAAAAATTCAGACCTTGAAATTATTAAGGGCATTACTGATTTTGATGTGATTAGACTGCCCATCACTTTATCGCAGAAATATTAATGCATATGTTATATACTATTGGCATATGGACAAAATATAATTATCGCGTTTGTTCATATTTTATCCCCTTTTTTAGTTTCCCAAAAAGTTATCTCTAATACTATCCCATCGCTTTACTTTTCAAAAATCAAACGCTAAACTATTTGTATTTTATGTCGCCACGCCAGTTTCATTTAAACTAACTTGTAAACACACAAAAACACTTAAAACCATTCATAGAGGGTAAACCAAAAAACATAAACCATAATTCATATTTTCTAAATTCAATTCTTCAATCAAACTCTCACTAAACTGACCCATCTTTATAAATCTAAGTGGTGATGAAGTTCGTATGTGTCATATAAAAAAAAAAAAAAAACTAAAGGCAAACGAAAATAAAAAACTTTGTATTTTTTCTTGGAAAATTTCTACTTTACCACAATTTTATTACTATTTTCAAATATTATTTTTAAAAGATGACTATTTTCATAAATACCTTAAATTTGTAATAAAACTATCAAACTAATCATTCTAAAATTCATTCATAAATTTTTAATTATTATTTTTAGATGTTTATAAACAAAATGAACCTCATAAATACTAAACTCTAAACAATAATTAATAAATCATAAATCCAAATATTAAAATATTTTCGTTTAGAAGTATTTTGAAAAGTGATATCAGTTTGTTATATTTCAAACAATAGAACGACCAAATTCATGGAGTAATACTGTAAAAGTAATAAAATAGTAATAAGTACATTGGTTTTACTGCTCAGTTGACAAAAAAACAGAGTATATTGTTTTTTCAACTATATAAAAAATCAAAATTAAAGAAATGATAAAGATAAAGAGAGCGTTACAAAGTGTGGTTGAGGACAGATTTATTAAGATTCCGATTTCCAATAACAAAGAATGTAAAATAGCAGCAAAAATTAAATAAAAATAAAATAAACACTTTCTCAAATCTAAAAAAGAGAGAGAGAGTCATGAGGAGATAAAGAGGAGAAGATAAAACCTTTGATGTCCACACTCTCTTTTGTTTCTTCTCTCCTTAGATAGAAAAAAAAACATTTGTCTCTCTAAAAGAAACGACGTAGTTTTCTTCACCAAATGGACTTTCAAGAAAACAACAACAACAATCAAGAAGATGAAGAAGACCAAATGAATCTCCACGATGAAGAAGAACAAGAAGAAGACGACGCCGTTTACGACTCTCCAGTACCGTCTCGTGTCCTCAAAACCTCCACTGAAAGTCCCGACACAACCGGAACAACTTCAGCAGGCGTCGGAGGAGGAGGGTTCATGGTGGTTCACGGTGGCTCCTCCTCCTCAAGCAGGTTTAGGTTCCGTGAGTGTCTCAAGAACCAAGCGGTGAACATAGGAGGACACGCGGTGGACGGTTGCGGCGAGTTTATGCCAGCTGGAATCGAAGGAACCATCGATGCCCTAAAATGCGCAGCGTGTGGCTGTCACCGTAACTTCCACCGCAAGGAACTACCTTATTTCCACCACCACGCGCCGCCACCTCCTCCTCCACCGCCTGGATTCTACCGTCTTCCTGCTCCGGTGAGTTATCGTCCTCCTCCACAGCCTCCTTCTCAAGCTCCTCCTCTTCAGCTAGCTCTCCCTCCACCGCAGAGAGAGAGGTCAGAAGATAGGATGGAGACTTCTTCTGCTGAGGCAGGAGGTGGAGGTGGAGGGAGTAGTGGGATTAGGAAGAGGTTTAGGACTAAGTTCACGCCGGAGCAGAAGGAGAGGATGTTAGCTTTAGCTGAGAGTATTGGTTGGAGGATTCAGAGACAAGATGATGAAGTGATTCAGAGGTTTTGTCAAGAGACTGGTGTCCCTAGACAAGTTCTTAAGGTTTGGTTACATAACAACAAACACACTCTTGGTAAGTCATCATCTCCACCACTTCACCAGCATCCTCATCAGAATCCATCTCTTCCTCATCCTCATCCTCCTCCACAGTCTTCTTCGTTTCATCATGAACAAGACCAACCATGAATCTTGATTTTCTTGATCACTTGTTAGGGTTTTTTATTTAGCTAATCAATTTACTTGAGGGAATTTGAGATGGTTTTTTATTTGTTTAGTTTATGTACCCATTTGGTGATGATGATGTTGTTGTTGTTGACGCTCTTTCTGTTTAATTAATTACGTTTTTCATTATCATCTTCTGTAGTCTCATTCTTGAGTTGTTTAGTGTACTATTAGTGATTAGTGAGGATTTTTAGTAATTAACATCACATGTGTCAGTGTTTTAGATTTATCATTGTCTTTCTCTATGAACATTGCATGATTACGTACGTATACTAAAGAGTATGTATTTGTTAGCATATGATCTTTAGCATTGGGACATTTGTTTTAATTGTTACTTAAGTCCTTGTGTTTGAGTGGGAGTGTTATTATTTGTGCTTGACCATTACTTCAACACACAAGCATTTTAAATATCTGATTAAGTGATGATGTTGTTTATGAAGCTCTTTGTATTAAGAACTAAGATATTTTCTTGATCATTTCTTTGGACACACACCTTATATTTTTCATTATTAATATATGTGTTTGTTTATATATATATACTTCTCATTTATTGTCAAATGAGTGTAGGACTCGAATGTGGATCGGTTGGAATTTCCTTGGGATGGAGATTTCCACCTAAAAAATTGTGTAATAACTTTAGATATTAGCGTGGATTCCTCATTCACCAATCAGTGTAGATATATATATTTATATGTTATTTTAGCAGAAAAAAGTATATATTTAGAAGTTAAGACATTTATTTGTTCCCCCCTTGGAAATGAAAAAGGTGAAGTTAACATCTGCTAGCTGCTGCTACAGTATTCTGATTTCTTGGGAATTAATTTAAACTCTTTAACTCGAAAATAAAAATAAAAAAAAATATAAAAGACAAGAAGATATAATGGAAACATGTCGATGCATCCAAAGCTTCGTCGTCCTCTTTATGTCTTTCTAATTGTTACATTATATGCATGTATACTTGTGTGTATATATAGCAATATGTTCTTTCACTACAAGAAAAATTGTATATTATGACGAAATATATAGTCACAATAGCAAATATTTCGTAACAATATAGATATTGTGACATATTTGTGACAGTTTTAGAACGGTTACAATACCGCAGTCACAAATCTTTTTTGGTAACAAAAATGTCACAGTGTTTTGTGACAATTTATAGAGTATCTCTTCTGTCACAAACAGTAACTATATACAAAAGTGATAAATTTGTTACAATTACCAACTAAAAATTATGTCATCAAATTGTCATATTATGTGACTATGATAGTGTCGTAACTCTGTCACCTATTGCAACAGAGTTTTAGTCTCAAATTGTAACAAAAGAAGACTGAAAAAGCATCACAAATATGTTTTCATTTACGACTAATTCATAGTTGTAGATTAAATGTTTTATCACTAACAAAATTATTAATCGATCTTAATAAATTAGTTATATATGGATTTGTCATCTCAAACTTGTCACAATTATACAATAAACTATTATCAGAAAAACATTATTAATATTATTGTTACAATGTATATGTTGTTACAATCATTCATCTAGCGTTGGTTAGATTTGAAGCTAATAAACAAAAACTGACATCACAAAAGAAAAAAATTGTCTTCTTCTAAGATTTCTTTCATCATCAGCTCCAATCTACTTCGTTTCTTCTCTTGACTGTCCTATCTTCTCGCTAAAGACCTCTAGCTCATTGCCCCAGCCCCCAAGCCAAATTATATTTTTTGTTCCCCTCACAAGAATTCTCCGTTCTTTAGTTACGGATCTGACTGCGAGAAACACACCAGCATAAAAATGTAAACACATATATTCGTAGTGAAAAAGTCTTGAGATGTATAGTCTCACTTACCAATGTGAATTTTTTCTTTGAATGAGAAGTGTCTCCGGCCCCACTCTTCAAGGTCATCTCAAAGATTCCTCTTCACTTTCTCTTTAGTGTATTTGCCTCCCCTCCTGCCAAAATAAAAAAAAAAATGTTATGATATCCCACAAACAACGAGATAGATATACGTGAACATAGAGCAGTAACTTTCTGGAATAGTATATTGCCATAAACCCAACAGATCAACAATCAAAGAAAATTCGACGTAATTCACATGTAATCGATATGCGTTGAATCGAAAAAAGGGAACCAAATTCAAATTATACCATGGCTTTAAAGTTGTATGAGCGGCAACGTCAATAGATGAATACTCCTGAGAGGCTCCGAAATTCTGAGTACCACCCTGCTAGTGACCTCTCTTGGCAGGAGATTATGTTGTCCATGCTGCAGTCGCCATATCCAGAGACTAACCCTAGTTTACAGAGAAAACAATTAGCCAAAATCGAGATATATAGACTTATAGGATAATGGATTTTATTTGGGCTTTAAGAGTTTAGGTACAAGCTTTTTTCTACTATAAAATTATAGGAGTCGATTGACTTATTTGTCCTATGATATTATTCATATTACATAAAAGTAAAATATATTTAAAACAAAAATAAAATTAGATCTAATATAAAATTGTTAATATCACAGTATCTAGTAGGGCTAGAAAAAAAACCCGGATCCGAAAAATCGAACCGAATCCGATCCAAAAAATAGTATCGAATCCGAACCGAAATTGATTCAATATCCGAATGAGTTCAAAATTTTGGCATTTAAAGAACCGAAACGGAACCCAACCCGAACCAAAGTATTTCGGGTACCCAAATATATCTGAAATATATTTATATACATATATATATATATTAATTATTTTTATATTTAATGTATATAAAAACATTCAGTATATATAAAATATTTTGAAGTTGTTGTAAATATATGTAAATAGTCAAACATACATGTCTAAAATTGCTAAAGTACACTCAAAACGTTAAAAATAAAAAATATTGACTCACAATCTAAATATTAAAATCAAACTAATTTATCTATTAATTTTAGGTACTTTGACTTATTACTTTGTTTATAAATTTTTAGAAATTTAAAGTATATAATCATTTTTAAAATTTATAAAATAATTTAAATGGGTTATCCGAACCCACAAAGATCCGAAACGAACCCGAACAAAAAATTTAGAAATATCCAAATGAGGAAAAAATTTGTGAACCCGAAAATCCGAAACCCAAATAAATCTGAACCGAAGCCGAATGAGAATCCGAACGCCCACCCCTAATATCTAGTCAAATAATTATTAAAAATATGAATATGCTTGACTAGTGTTATAGGCGTTGACTAAAACCTTATTAATTAGACAGTGAATCTAGGAATACAACAAATTCATTATATTATTTGGTTGCAATTTGACAAAAAGAAATTATGTTTATCAATTTTTTTTTGCTTTTGATATGTACGCAATATAAGCTAATTACTGAATTCTTGTCACCGAATCATCATAAATTAGTACTATGTGATTCGTCATAAGTTTGTAACAAATTTGTTACAACACACTTGGTCACAATAATGTCAAACTTTGTTACAATTTTTATATTAGTCACAATATTGTAACTAATTATGACAGAAGTTGGCTACAATTTAAATAGTCACAGTATTTGTGACGAAATAATTACTTATTTGTAACATGAAATTTTAGTTGCAATATTGTATCATTTACGTCACAAATTTGTGACAAATATTATTAGTATCAAAATTTAGTAACAATATCACTTTTTTCTTGTAGTGTTTGAAGAACTGGTGAAGGAGACATGTGGGCTCTTTCGAAGCATCAAGGATAATAGATAAAAACATATGGGCACACATACATGTAACATACTAATTATGTTATTCTTCCAAATCCCTAGTTAGCTAGAACTTACACCTCTAATTCTTTTTTGTTTAGAACATTTAGTTCATTTTTTTTGTTTGTTTATCTACGTACGATCGACTATATTATAAGTAAATTTGAATACAAAAGCATGAAACTAGGGTTTTGAGTGATGACGCAAAGAGATATGGGGGGGAGGGAAAGAGGGAACCAAAATGAATGAAAAAGGAAAGAAGATGGAGATAAGATTCGAGTCCCCATCTCACGGCCACTTCCATATTTAGACTTTCATGTCTCAACCTCTCCATCTTCTCTCTCTCTCTCTCTCCGATGAAAAGAGAGACAAATCTACACACAAATGAAGAGACTTGAGAGAGATGCTTTTGCTTGATAAGGTAATCTCTACGCCTTCTTGTCCAAACTAAGGCTGCACACTCCAAAGTGTGAAGATGACTTTGTGGTCCTCTGCCTCTCTCTTTTATTTTTTGTTGGGTCCATAGTTTTGTTTTCACAAATTTTCAAACGCGTGAAGCTTAATTAGTTAGTGTACTTGGTCGTGTTTGAGTTGTACATGTTTGGGTATAACGAGCTATTAACGTTTGTTAAATAACCACGCGATATTAGTTAGCTTTGACTACTTCAGAAACCTAATCTCATTTTTCTTGTACTTCTCTATTTTGTATATTCTCACGAGTAACATGAGAAATGCCTAGTTATTAGTTTAGCTTAATTTACAATTAATATCAAAGCAGAAAATAATTTTTGTTATAATTTTGATATTGCTAACTTCTTAGAGCATCCGCAACGGGAGTCCTTAAGGGGAAGTCCTTAGGGAAAAAATAATTAAATAATCGGTAAATCTTACAAAAAGTTAAGGATTCGATTATTAAAATCCCTAAATAAGGTCGGTTTCTTAACGAATCGTTACACTATTTGTGGGTCTCTGGGACACGTAGCAGTCTGCAAAAGATATTTTTTTTTCTTAAATCTTAAATATCCTTACAAAATCCAAAATACCTTTTTTCTTAAGAATTCTTTTGAGTCTCACTGTTACGGATGCTCTTAGTTTACTCTAATAGCTTCTCCATTGTTCGACAAAGCAGTATAATGATGGTGACCATAATACAATAACATATTTTATTGAGTGGTGAAAAATGTTTACTCGGCTGCTGCAGTAATGAGAAATGTTTGTGCCATACGTTGGAGTCTGGATATGTAATAAATGTTCATAGAAAGTAGTGAAGCGCAGATATTTTTTGTTTGGGTGCAAATTTTTGGGCTTTTCTTGTGAGCTAAGTTGAATTATTGATGTAAGATGTTTTGATCAGATAAATAAGTGTATGTTTTTAAACATGATTTTTTTTCTTTTACTGTGGTCCTCTTCATGGAATCTTTCAGTCAATACACAGAAACCAGGACAACGACCCATCAATGTGTGTGTATGTGTTGTGTATCATACATATATGAATATATACATGCGTGTTATATCATCATCATCATCATCACCATAATCAACATCATCATTCTCACAGTGTTTTTACTGTGGAATAGTTACTGTCGTTATGTTTCATTTAGGGAATCTAAATGTGACCCACAAGCAGGGTTTTATTACCAGCCTTTCAAGTTAAGTTTCAAAACAAGTAATTTTATTATTATATTCGAAAGGGAAGAAAAAGAAAACTCGATAAGATTGCGTAAAAATAAAAATATAGGACCAGCTAGGGTTAGGGTTTTCTTTTCCATTAAATTATATGATATGCCCTTACTCTTAGCTTCAAAAACTTTGCCCTAATTTGGGAAACTGATGATGATGATGATTCACGTGCAATTGGAATAAATTTTCCAATTAGAAATATCAATGATACTTTCACAATGTTTTAATTAATCACTTAAAAACCATAATACAAAAGAAAAAGGATTTTCTCTTTAGTTATGCGTAAAAGAAAAAAAGCGAAGGTTGAAAAAAGTTTGGAAGCTATAACTTTTAGCAACTTTTTTGAAGGAAAAAAATTAATGAAATAAAATATATTATATTGTGTTTGGACAGTTGAATGACTATGACGAGTCATTATGACGAAGCCCAATGAAAGAAAAACAAAAGTTTGTTTGTTTTGTATTGTTGTCTTCACTTAGTCCACTGTCCAAATAGTTCTTCATTTCAAATTTATGTATATTATATACTGTGTGCCCACTACGAAAATCTAAATGCGTATTGTACGTACATATACGTTCATGATATTTCAGTGAAATGTCAGGACCAATAGCTAAAATAAAATTATAGTAAATGCAGTGGTGATGATGGTAATGAGAACCAACATTAGTAGTTTAAACACCGAGGGGTATAGAGAAATAACTTTAAACACTAATTTTTGTGAGTTCATCATCGTAATTATCTAATTGGAAAATTATGTATACAAATTAGCACTTGGTCGTATATTAATTAATGTAGTATTATCTTAATTCACTTTAAAATTGAATCTTAACAAATTTAATAGATTTATATACAGTTAAATCTCTATAAATTAATAATGTTGAGACTACACTAAAACTAGAATTTTTTATTAATTTATAGAAATTATTAATTTATCGATATACTAATTGAACTAAAAACTCAATTTGAAACTATAAAATTATATTTCTAAATATTAATTTATCAATTATTAATGTATGTTCCTAAATATGTGCTTTCTTATTGCGTGTCATGATTACCCTTTTTGTGGTGAAAATATTTCGATGAACTGATACATAAACGTGGGAAAATCTCATATGTTCTTCTCTATAAACACTATTTAATTTGATGATTGTCAAAGTCGCTGCTGGTATGCTACCGACATTGGTAGGCCCGAATTTTTTTGATTTTAATGAACATAGGATTGGCCCATTACACATAGTTTGGAGAATTTAGAGGTTTAGTGGACCTGGACTCCAAGCATTTTGTAATTTTTATTTGTTTTTATCGTAAAGTATTTCTTTTAAATTCACAAATGTTTTGGATTTTGGACTTTTGTTGACCAAGTTAGAAAGCACGAAAGATTTCATTTTCAGTTAGTGGGCCCATTATCAGCCCATTAGTGCCATGCGCGCCTTATTTACTTACGCGACACCGTTTGAAATTGTCTTAGCAACGGAAAGTCAACTCTTAGCGATCAACGCAACTGATACCGTTTTTTTCCCGCTGTATTTATTTGGCGGGAACAAAGAAAAAAACATTCTCTGCTTTTTCTTTAATTTCTTGTTTTATAGCAACAAAAATCTCCATAACATTATCATTATCAAGCATTTTTCTTTGTGGATAAATAAAAATATTGGAATCAAAATGTTTTTGTCTTTTATTTTAGAAATGTGCTATGATTATTTTCTTTTTTTTTCAACCTCTCCTCAGACATAATAATAATAATGATAAATTTATTTTAAGAAAAAAAAACAGAGAGATTTAGGAAGTATGGGGAGAAGAAGAATCATGAGTCTTAGAGCTGAAACAACAAGCTGATACTTCTAAAACTCCATTGGGTGTTTGTGAACATAAGCCTGAGCCATCACTCTCTATCATTTCCCCAATCTTCTTCACTCTCTCCTGCAAACAGAGTTTAAGCAACAAAAGAACCAAACACAGCTTAAAAGCTTGACACTTTGTTTTGTCTCTTGAACATAAAAACACAATCATAAAAATCTCATCAGCTTTTTTTTGGGTGTATTAAAAGAATGTCCAAATGGAAACCAGTCTGCTTTTTATATAGCAAGATCAAATCAGAATCAACTATACCACAGCATGTTTTGTGGGGACAAGGTTTGGTAAAAGATGTGACTATAGAGTATGTGTTAAAGTGACAAAGAGTCACAAGACACACAGCTATAGAATGATATACTATAAAGTGGTCTTTGGTCTATACGCTCCACTAGTTCTGGAAGTCAAAGGATTCAGACCCATAAACCAGTTTCTCTTTGCTCTTCTTTAACTTACTTTTTATAAAAAATATAATTACACATGTGTATGCAATGCATCAGTTAGTGCACACACACACATATAAATGTGTCATCATTAATGATTTCATTCTTCTCCACAACTGGCATTTCCTTGTAATTGAACACCCAATTACTGCTTTATATTGATATTTAGATTTTAAGAGTTTGAGATTTTTGGTGGAATTTCCTTTTTTTTTTTACCTTTTGAAGTAGTGAGAAAAGAGGAGAGAAGGAAGAGTTGTCAAAGTGTACTGTGTACAGTTCTCCAGAAACAGAAAGTGCCACTGCAGCAGCAACTTCAGAAGGTCTAAACTCCAAAAAGTCAATACCTGCTCACTCACTCACACAACCACACCATTATTAGTCCAAAACATTCACCCAAAATCATAAAAAGCAAAAGCACAAACACACAAAAGTGATCAAGTAAAAATAAAACAAAAAATGAGATAGCTTTTTTTTTTTCACCTTTAGTTTTGCTGGCTATCACTTGTAATGATCTGGATATCAATGTGTTGGATGGTTCTTGATCACATTTACTCATCTTTCTAAGAAAATATCTTATGTATGAGCAGGGAGTGATGGCTCTCAATCTCCATTCCAATCTGTTCAACACCAAAAGTTCCATTCTTTGAACTGATTTAGCCTCAAACACAAACTGAGGATGTCCAACCTGTTCCCAAATGTGACCAAAACCACAATTAATGAGTGTATTGAAAAAAGAACATCTCCACAATTTGAGAGATCAGTAGTACCTGAAGATCTATTAGCATTGGGACTTCAGTTTCTTCTATTTTGGCTGCTAAGGATAAACAAGCCACTGCTAACAACTGCACTGCCCAAGTGTTGCCACTCTACAAGAAAAAATCATAAATAAAGAAGCTACAATAATGAGACTATTAGATGATGAAGTGAAGAGCTAACACATTCTCAATGTGAACTTACAGGGATATCATGAACTGATAAGAATCTATCCAAGTAGTTCATAGATAAACAAACACACATTTGTCCAAACTTGTGTTCCTCACAAGCCTGTTGTAATAAAAACAAGATATACATCAAAAGCTGAGCTTACAAAAGATCTAAAACTCCTAGACTGATGTCACATATTTAAGACAACAGCTCTATCTTTGGTTCTGCTTAAGCATCTGATCTAATATACACACCAACAGACTATTTATGTCTCATATAATCCATCAAAGAGAATTGATTTTCAGAATCTAATCCAAAAAAGGTAAGAGATATAATAAAGATCAGACCTTCAAAATCCAATTCAGAGCATCTCTTCTTCTAACACTCAAATCCAAATCTCCATTTCTGAGTCTGCTGATGTAATCATCACTTGGCAAAGTCTGCTTCTCCTTCTCCATCATCTCTCTGATGAACTCTTCGCTCTCCGATGGAAAACCCATCTGAGAAATCGAGATTTCAGGCAAAAAGATCGGAGTTTTGTCGAGAATTATGACGTTGTTGTCTTCATCATCACCAACGTTGGTGATCTCTGTACATAAAAGACTCAGTTCTAGATTGTTGTCTGCCATTTTATAACAGAGTGTTTCAAAAAAAGTGTTCTTTCTTTTCCGATCTAAATTGTTAAGACAAGGATTGTCATCTTGAGAGATTGGGAAGTGAAAGAAAGATTGGGTTTTTGATTTTTCTTTGTTTTTGTTTTTTGTTTTGTTTTTGGGTTGATGAGTAAAAATACTAAAGGAAGAAGCTTTTTATTGAGGGAGTGATGAAGATGTATGTGATTTTTTTTTGTGGGTAAGTAGGTAATGTGGAAGAAGAAGATGAAAGAGTATAAATTTGAAAGAAAAAAAGAAATGAAAAAGAAAGTGAATTGACTATCATGGTAACAAATGTTTTACTCAGTGATATATTTATGGGGATGTGTTTGAAATTTGTTGTAAGATATAGATTTAGTTGGTTGGTTTTATTAGTTGTATTTTAGTTTTTGGATGATGAATCAAGTGAATATTGGGCTGAGTTATTTATATATTTTGTGTGTAAATTATTAGTTTTTTTTTTCATTCGTGAGAAAATGTTTTATTATATTTTTGTGTATTTACATAGATACTGAAACAGCTGATGTTGAAAAATATGATCACATTAGTATACTGTTGTATTCCATTGTTTTATTTTTAGTTGCAACAATATAGTTTGAGTAATTTTTAAACATTATTAAATCCATCAATTTAGAAATAAAATAAATAACTTCTTATCTTTTCAATTTCAGTATTATGGAATCAATGTGGTATTTTCAAAGCACAGTATTCATAAGATTCAAGATTATTTTATTTTTTTTTATTGTGATATTGTTCTTTTTAGGGTGAAAATATTCGTCGAACAATGAGATTATGTTTCCTAAATTCGATATAAATATATTTAAATTTAAATTAGCAAATTATACATAAAAATATTGTGATTACATTTTAAAATTCAAAACCCATCAATAATGATGCTTAAAACATTTGCTCTTTGGCTAGTCTCACTTTCTGTTTTAATAGTACCAATTACTACATCATTGCATATGCATTTTTGATGATAGTGTCAATCACTACATCACTACATATACATTTTAGTGGAATTAGTAGACATGTATAAGAACTATTCTCATATACTAACTTGGAATGGCCATTGTTTTTACACAGTATGGTCTTTCTTTAGTATGGTTTTATTTTACCCAAAGATGCTGTCTTCTGTTTTACCCAACACATCAGATTAACTATAGGGTCTTTGCTTTTTATATAATATAATTACTTGTCCCCAAGTGGTAGTCAAGGTTTCGGACCAGACCTAGTCCTCTATATGGCTTCCAGAAATCCTACATTAGTATTTTAAATAAATGAAGATTAATGAATTTATCGTTTTACCAAGTGTTACTGCTTTTGATGGTAGTAGTAACAACGTGAACTGTAATCACGTGCGAGCTAAATAAGCGTTGGTGTTTTTTACAGTCTTTATCTTTTCTGAAAAGACTGGTAAGAAGAAACAAAAGTTTAAGTAAAGAAACTGGTATTCGAATTAGACCAAAAAGAATTGCTCCTTATGATTTATTTTTCTTCTTCTTTTTCTCTCATGCATGCAAATGCCAGACATAAGTGGTCCAAGTATGTACCTTTATAATGTTTTGCTTATCTTTGTGTGTTCTGAGATTCAAACTTTTAGATCTTGCTTCTATAACTTTGTTAATGGTGAATAAATAATTTTGTGTTTAAGCACGCCTGTGGTCAAGTTGACTTAACTTTACCCTAATCACATGGCCTGATGGTTCGATTCCGAAATATAAACAGCCTTTTTTGTAAAAGTAATACAACGTAAAGGTTGCTGTTAAAGAACGCAAACACTCTAACTGATGAAGAAGCTTAAACGCGTAACCAGTAAGTTACACCAAAACTAACCGACATGCTTGAACCAAAACCAAACCAAATTATTTGTAGGACTGAACAAGATCCAGTAGCGAAACCGACTTTTTATGTATCTGAACCGAACCAAACCAAAGCGAAGTTTAACTAACAAAATCGAAATCAACAAAATTACAAATTTTTTTTAACGCTTTAGTTTATATAAAACCGATAAAATTATTAGAAAAATACCAAACCGTGAAACACTGACCACTCCCAAGTGAATTCATGTTTTTTAGAGAGTTTCATACGAAAGCTCTCAGCTAAATTTGTGACACTGCATAGGTTTGCAGTAATGTAAAATTTGAGGGGGGAAAAAGGAAAAGGTGATAATAATTTTAAAAAGAAAAAACGCAGTTGGAACAAAGAAGCAGATAACACCAAAGCTGTGCACATAACTGTCATAAACAAACCATTTTTTCGACAAGTTTTACAGCAAAGGAGGGTTCTCGAGTTTGAACTAGATTATCGGTCATGGTTTACAGGGACATTACATAACCGTCTGTTCTTCCACAAGATCTTCAGGCCTCATCCATCTGCTCCTGAATAAAGCAGTCAATCATTGAGTTTTTTGACTTTCAAATAGTCTTATAAGCTACAAGAGTATCTATGATCACTGATCAACGCATCATCACAACATTTAAAAACGAATTCTGATGAGGTGATTGATTGAATATGAGAGAGCAAACCTGCATATCGGAGGTCCAGAGGGTTAAATTGTCCCTTAGCAACTGCATGATGAGAGTACTGTCTTTGTATGACTCCTCTCCCAACGTGTCCAGCTCAGCAATGGCTTCCTCAAAAGCCTACAGGTTATAAATGCAACAAGCACAAGTTATAAATGCAATGACCAGATCTCTCTAAAGTCTTACTAAAACTTTTCTATATGATTGCAAGGGAGGCTCCTGATTTATTGTGCACCGAAAGAGGAAAATAATCAAATCTCTTGCCTTACTTAATCTCATCCTAACTATGTCATTCTAAGAGATTCTACCGACAAAAGGAATAATTAGGTTAATCTGAGTCGTAGGTCAAAAAAAAGTAAATGAACATGACTTTTAGAGAATGTCTTTATTTTTCTTTTAAATTCTCTGGTATTAAAAGAAGTGGGTCCATTCAAAAATATGAAATGCCTACTTTTTTCTTGAACAACTTCTCTACTTCCAGCAAATTCTCAAAATTCATTAACATCAATCCAACACAATGAACAAAAGACAGGGTCACTAGCACACAACTAGTCCACTAAAGCCACTCAAAAACATCGTTAACAGAGCAAAATACACTCTTCACAACCAAACTAAGACAATGATTAAACAATTCTTCAACTCGAAACAAACATGCAGCTCAGAGAAGAAAGAGAGTACCTGTTTAGCCATGCTACAAGCTTTCTCCGAAGAATTGAGAATCTCATAATAAAACACCGAGAAATTAAGCGCCAATCCCAACCTTATCGGATGCGTAGGCGCCAGATCCGCAACCGCAACATCCTTCACCAAAAAAAAACAATAAAAATCAAACCTTCCGTCTCAGAAAGAGTCTCATTAACTCCAAAAAACCAACAACTAACTCTCTAATTCCCTGCATCGCCTTAAAAAAAAATAAAAACAAAACCTTCCGTCTCAAAAAGAGTCTCATTAACTCCAAAAGAACAACAACTAAAACTCTCTAATTCCAAACCTGCGCCGCTTTAAAAAAAAAACAATAACAATAAAACCTTCTGCCTCAAAAAGAGTCTCATTAACTCCAAAAAACCATAACAAACTCTCTAATTCCTAACCTGCGCCGCCTAAAAAAAAAAAAAAAGTAAAAATAAAACCTTCCGTCTCAAAAAGAGTCTCATTAACTCCAAAAAACCAACAACAAACTCTCTAATTCCTAACCTGCGCCGCTTTAAAAAAAAACCACTAACTAACTCTCTAATTCCTAACCTGCGCCGCTTTAAAATAAAAACAATAACAATAAAACCTTCTGTCTCAAAGAGAGTCTCATTAATTCCAAAAAAACCTCTCTACTCTCTAACCTGCGCCGCCTTATACGCAACCATAGTATCCTCCGCCGCCGTCTTCCTCTCCTCCCCCGCCTTAAACTCCGCCATATACCTATGATAATCCCCTTTCATCTTCAAATAAAACACCTTCGACTCGCTCCCACCCGCCGAAGGAATCAGATTCGAATCCAAAATCTTCAGGATCCCTTCGCAGATCGCCGAGAGCTCTCCCTCCACCTTAGATCTGTAATCCTTCACGAGCGCCACGTGCTCCTCGTTCTTCCGGCTCTCCTCCTTCTGCTCGATCGAGGAGACGATCCTCCACGCCGCGCGGAGGGATCCGATCACGTTCTTGTACGCCACGGAGAGGAGGTTGCGCTCTTCCACGGTGAGCTCGGTGGACGGGGTTGAGGAGGTTACGAGGTGTTCCATGAATTGGACCATCTCTTCGTAACGCTCGGCTTGTTCGGAGAGTTTCGCCATGTAGACGTATTGGTCTCTGCTCATCGTCGCCGCCATTTGAGAGAGAGATCTCGAGATTTTTTCTTTTTTTCTTTTTTTTCTTTTTTTTTGTTGGAAATTGAAAATCGGAAGAAAGTTTTGGAAGGAGAGAAGAATAAAAGGGGGAAAGGAGAAGCTTAGTCATGATGAGCTGTAAAAAAACAACTCTCTACACTCGCGCGTGAATAAAACTCTCGGTTAATACGACGTCGTTGGTTGACAGCGTGACACTCACGTGGATTATAAGAGGCGTGTGTGCGTCAGCTTCCAGCCTTGACACACAAAAAGGCAACTCTCTATATTCGCGCGTGAGTTAAAATCCAGATTAATACGACGTCGTTGGTTGAGTAAGGTTTTAAGAGCGTGGTACTCACGTGGATTATGGGTGGGGTTTAGTAGGCAAGTTGACACTGTTAATATGGGCCTTTTTTGAGTGAAATGGGTTTAGTGAAGCCCATTAGGGGGTGTAACCTTGCTGGCTAAGCATATGCGTTTTCGGCGTGAGGTGGAGACAACTAATGTGGTCGGAGAAAAAGGTATATGAGGACAAGAGCAAGTTGTCTAAACTCTTTCTTTGGCATGATATCCTTCTTTTTGGGTTAATAAATATTATTCCGTTGATTAAAATATACTTAAGTGAAAAAACAGAAGATTAAAATGGTTCCTCGTATTAAGTAGTAATAAATGAAATTAACTAGTTTTCATTTTCCAATATAACAAATTTCAATCACCGGACCAAGTTAGTTGTATGAGGAATTGACGAAATTTATGCAAAGTCAAAATGGGGAATAATTGAGAGATCCCACAAGACACACCGGTTAGGCAGGAAAAAGAAAAAAATAAGTTGGTTGATAAAATGCGACCACATCATTAGAACCAAATCTAAAGAAGTTGATTACTCATATTTTTAATAATTGCATTGCAAGTTGTATTAGTCATTGTTTAAATAAAAAAAAAACTGGAAAAAACACAGTTGTTGTACGTAATAAATTAGATATTACGAACGACTACTGCTAAATACGCGTAAAAATGTTGACAAACGAAGAAATAATCCTCGTAAAAGACTAACAAAAACTAAACTAAACTAAAATAACAGGACTTAGTATAAAATTAAACAGTGGTTACAGTCTGTGGTTACAAGCGAGCGTAACGTTGCCGTTATAGAAGGAAAAGGACGTGTCTCCACACGCCACGTGGGTTTGACGCATTCGTCTTAAAGTCTTCCGTCACAGTTAACTAACGTCTCCATCCAACGCCGCTCCATCAAATCCTTTTCACCGTACTTTCCTTGGTGGCGCAAGTTTTACTAAAACACAACACACTGATAAAATAAGGAAGATATTAAAAAAAAAAAAAGAATATACGATCTTCGCCGATCTTCCTTTTTTTTTTCTTTCTAATAATCAATCGTTTTCGTCTTTCTTAGTGAATTCCACTGGTGGAAGTTTTTCATTCACTTGTATCAGTTTGAATGCTTTTTATTTTTTACTTGGGGAAAATCGGTTTCACACTTGCTTCTTTTCTCTCTCACTGAGAGATTATAGTGGTAAGTTAAAATGCAGTTTAAATGATTTTCGTGTTAGATTAGTAGATCGATTCGCGAGTTTCCGTTCACGGTTTCGCCTCTCTCTCTTCATGTAAATTTCGTGCAAAAGAGCAAAAAAAAAATTATTCTCTACATTGTCTTTACTCGTTTTCACTTGAATTTTGCTTTTGTAATCCTTCGATTGAGTTTGTGATATTTGGAATGCGAATTCGAATTTGATCATAATCTCTGTGAAACTTAGGTCAAAGTTAAGGAGCTATGTTCAGGGAAGCTGGCTTAAGAAGCTTAGGAGAGGTATGATTTCAATCTGCTTCACTATTTTTTTTTTTTTGAATTATACAGCCTATTTGATAGCTTTTGTTCTTATCTTTATCATACGAAGAAATTTAGACTAGTCACATGTGTCACACATGTCGGTACTCTGTCCCTAGTGATGCTGAAATGTTAATTCTCCAGTGACTGGAACTCGAACCAGTTAATCACCACCACACCAGGCCACAAGTGTCCTGGTTAATCTGCTTCACTCTTCAATCACTAGTGTTTGTTTGTTTACTCTTTTTTTTTTTTAAACATGTTAATAGGATAATGTTGGTTCGAGGTGGACGATTGGTAACCGTAAATTGGATGCTAAGTCTGCTGCCAACGCCAATGGTGTGAAAGTTGTAAATGGTTTTGGACTCAGGACTGCTCCTCCAGCTACGAGAGGTAATTGTAACAATGGTGGATCAAGTTCAGACATGGACATTGCTTCTGATTCAGATGAAGATACATACGAGAGGCACCAGTCTCCTCAAGATTATAGAACTCATGTTCGCTTCCCTCACGTGGCAGCAGCTCAAAACGGTGGTGGAGTTGGGCGTAATGGTGGTGCTAAGGCTTTTGGTGGAGATGAGTTGTCAGACTCAGCTACGAGCTCACAAGTTTCATATGTACCTTCCCTTTTACCCCTTTTCACTAATGATATGTTTCTTTTGAAAACAAGGTTTCCTGAATTGATTTTAATGTTTATAGGAAGCTGAAGCGTTTGGTGTGAGGAACAATAATACATCTGAAACAAGAAGAAACGTTGAGACTGAAACTACAGGAAGGGCACAGAACGGGACTATTACTTCAACGAGTTCATTGCTTCCTCGTTTCCCAACTTTTCACGCAAGGTTGAGTAACACTTACTTACTGTTTGTTGCTTTTATTGTTCATTGTAATTGATTTGCCCTCTGTTTGAATGTAGTGAGCAAGGTCCATGGTCTGCGATGATTGCATATGAAGCGTGTATGCGGCTATGTCTTCACTCATTGTCAGTGGATAGAGTCAACGAGGCTTCTTATTTCCTGAATAACGAATGCAAAACAATGCGGAATGCGTTTAGTTTGGAGAAATTCTTCCTTCAATCTGAAGAAGAGTTACTTGGGAAGGGACCTTGTGAATTGGTTACTGAGGCATCTGCTCCAAAATCCAAGAAAACTATTGGAAAAATTAGACTCCAAGGTATACTCTCCTCACATTGCATTTGTAGAATTTGCAGCGTTTGTGCCTATAACAGTTTGATTTTTGTACAGTTCGTAGAATTAAAATGGGATTAGATCCACTACCTGGCTGTAACATTGCATCACTGACGCTCCCCAAGGAAAAGCTCGTAGTTGTTCGTCGCAATATCACAGAACTGAATTTGACTTTATCTTCTGGATGGAAAGCAGCGAAGAAAGTTCATGTCACTCCTCATGTTCCTCTTAATGGTTCCGTTTCACGTCAAAGTCTGGCTTACTTGCAGGCAGCTGCTCGCTACCTTAAACAGGTTTCAAAAGCTGTTAAAAACGAAGTGGTTGCGTCTCACACTGGACCACAAACTTATGAAACAGTACAAGGTATTTGCATTGGTGCTTTGGATATTACTCGTCGTCCTATGTTTGGTCATTGGGATCTGATTCTTTTTTTGTTTACAGAAACATATTCATGTTCATTGAGGTTGAAGAGCTCTGCTGAAGAGGATCAAATTAAGACGCAGCCTGGATCTGGCGAGGCGTTTATTTTGTATGTTGTTCACGTGATCAATTATAGACTTCTCTTTCTACTGCTTCATAGTTTGTTATTAATATACATTTCTCTTGTAGCTTGCCAGACAGTCTTGGTGATGATTTGATCATTGAAGTTAGAGATTCCAAAGGGCAAATTCTTGGTCGTGTTGTAGCTCAGCTAGCAGCTATAGTTGATGATCCGGTAACATTCTCTCTCTTTATCATTCTCAGCGTAATGATGAAGCTGAAGATCTCAAGTGTTTTTTTTCTGGCTGAACCAGAATGAGAAGGTGCGATGGTGGCCAATATATCATGAACCAGAGCATGAACTTATTGGGAGAATCCAACTTCACTTAAGTTATTCAAGCAGTCTAGATGAAAAAACTAAGTGTGGATTGGTGGCAGAAACTTCAGCTTATGATATTATCCTAGAGGTGGCTATGAAAGCAGAACGGTTTCAGCGACGAAATTTAGTGTTCAAGGGACCATGGCACTGGCTGATAACTCGATTCGCATCATATTATGGGATCTCAGATGCATACACAAGATTAAGGTAAGAACTGAATGCAAAATAATGGTTTTGAGTCTCTTAAATCATCTTGGCAGCAATTAAGCAGTGTTGTGAATATTTGCAGATATCTTTCTTATGTGATGGATGTTGCGTCGCCTACCAAGGACTGTCTTGATCTGATATATGATTATCTGTTCCCTATAATAATGAAAAGCAACCACAAAGCTGTATTGAGTCACCAAGAGGTGGGTTAGCTTGGATCTTTAAGTTGTTTTATCTTTATTTTTCAAGTAACTTGCTTACTTCAACCTTTGGTGCCTTGTTGACAGAACCGATTACTGGGGGAAATTGATGAACAAATCCAGCAGATCCTTGCTTCAGCATTTGAGAATTATAAATCACTTGACGAACTGTCTTTCTCCGGGATGAAAGATGTGTTTGAGTCTGCTACAGGGACTCCAGCACCGGCCATTGAATCATCCGTCAAGCTTTATGCTCTTCTCAACGATGTATTAACCCCTGAAGCACAGCTGAAACTTTGCAGATACTTTCAGGTATCAATCAAACTCTTTAATCTGTTTCTTAAACTTATATTCATATCTGTGATTATTCACCTATTGAAACCATCCAGGCTGCCTCAAAGAAAAGGTCAAGAAGACATTTATTGGAAACAAATGATTTACTTAACAATCGTAGTGAAGGTGCTGCACCAGTTGATCCAATGGCACTTCCAGCTTCTTATCAAAAGATGAAGTCTCTAATATTGAGTTTTAAGAATGAAATATCTACCGATATAGCAATCCATAACTGCAATGTCCTCCCAAGGTTTGTTTTTAAGACTTTGAAGTCCAAGATGTGCAAACATATATGTTAACTCGGTATATTTTTCTAATGATTCTTTTTGTCTAACTCTTAAGCAGCTTTATAGACCTTCCAAATCTTTCAGCGTCAATATATAGCGTGGATCTCTGCAATAGGCTACGGGAGTTTCTTCTCGTATGGCCTCCTCCTGGACCATCACCTCCTGTTGTTGACCTTGTTATTACAACTGCTGATTTTCAGAGAGATATCTCTAGCTGGAACATAAAGTAAATTCACTAATATCTCCTATTCACACTTTCATGTTACTAGCTGGCACTTACTTATTCTGTTGCCATGTTGCAGTCCTATTAAAGGTGGTGTTAACGCCAAAGAGCTATTTTATTCGTATATCACAAACTGGATTGAAGAGAAAAGACGAGTTCTATACGAACTCTGCAAGCTAGAGACGGTACTAATTGTCTACGACGTAACGTGCTAAGACCCTTCTTCCAACGCAGTTAAATTACATTCTTCTTTGTTTTTTTCCAGGTAAAAGCATGTGGTGAGATCTCAGGATTGACTTCTCCTTTTGTGGATGAGATGTATCACAGACTCAATGGGACACTTGATGAATACGATATTATCATTAGGCGTTGGCCTGAATATGCAATATCCCTAGAGAAAGTAAGTGAAACAACAACAAAAATTCATTTTCATTCTTTGAATCCCACTTCTTTAAACTTCAGGAACAATGGTATAAGCTTTGAGCTCACTATTTTATCCATAATGTGTTGCTCTTGCTACATGGAAAATAGGTTGTAGCAGATGCAGAGAAAGCAATAGTTGAAGCAATGGAGAAACAATTTGCTGAGATTATATCTCCGTTAAAGGAAAGTAAGATCTTTGGGCTGAAAATTGTCCAGAAGTTCACCAAAGGCACACCTAACCCTTACGCTGTGCCAAAAGAGGTATTTTTACTCAATTCTTTATTATCTTGGATGTGTAAGAGTATAAGACAATAACGCAGTCTTGGTAAAATTAAATTTCAGCTTGGTGTTTTGTTGAACTCTATGAAAAGAGTGCTTGACATTTTACGGCCGAGTATAGAGAACCGGTTTAAATCTTGGAACTCCTATATCCCCGACGGTGAAAACAGAATCTTGGGGGAACGGTTAAGTGAGGTTACAGTGTTGTTAAGAGCCAAGTTCAGAAGTTATATGCAAGCACTCGTGGAGAAACTCGCTGAGAATGTATGTACTCTAAAAATTTGATTTAAGTTCTAGCTTTTTGTTTTTGATACTTTTGTTGATTGATGAGTTTATTTGTGTTAAACAGACAAGGATACAAAGTCATATGAAGCTAAAGAGCATCATCCACGACTTGAGAGAAACCACGGCAGAACCAGATGTTAGAAACAGAATGATGGCATTGAAAGATGTGTTGGATAAAACCATTGATCATCTACACGGTGTTTTCTTGCCCGATGTGTTTGTATCGGTTTGTAGAGGAATCTGGGACCGTTTGGGACAGGTTCAAGACGTCATTACATTAGCAAGTTGGTGTTTTCTACTTCTGCAGCATTTAACTTGACCTTCTTTTTTTCTCTTTCAGGATGTGCTTCGTCTTTTGGAAGATAGGAAAGATAACGTGACTTGGCACAAAGGCCCAAGAATCGCAGTTTCTGTAAGTTTTGCTTTAAACTCTATCAAGTAATGTAAACAAAAATGTTCTTATGCTCCGATGATCTTCAGGTTTTGGATGAGATCTTTGCAACACAAATGCAAAGCCTGTTAGGGAACGCTCTCAAGCCCGAGCACTTGGAGCCACCGAGGTCAATGATGGAACTCAGATCTATGCTATGTAAAGATTCTACAGACTACAAAGAAGGAGGATACAACTACTAGAGTAAACATGAACCGGTGAAAAAAACTGGTTGTTACAGTTTTTGTTTTACCGCGAAGTCTTATCTCTGGTTCATTAGTATGTTGAGATTTTGGACTAAAACATTGGAACCAAAGCAAATGTAGTTAACCAAAAAAAGAAAAAAAAAATAGCGGTTGCAATTACAGTAGTGGCAACGAGCAAAGTTTAATCACCTGAGACAAGTAGAGACAGTGTTTAGTTGTGCTTGCAGCAGGTTATTCACTTGTGGTCAACTACGGTCAAAGTCATCGAAGCAGTTAAAACACGCGCGAAGGTAGAGTCTACTAGTGGGGTACCACTTAGAAAAAAAATTAAAAAAAAAAACAAACGTCGCCTGAGAGATTCGAACTCTCGCGGGGAAACCCCATGTACTTAGCAGGCACACGCCTTAACCACTCGGCCAAAGCGACTTGTTGCTGGTGAGTCTTTAATTATGTTTAGAATAATAAAATATAAGTCAAAACAGAATAAATGAGACATCGGTTTGGTCGGAGAGGGACCAAAAGTAAAGAAACCGTAAAACGACAAAAAACAAGTGCACGTTGATTCCCTCCCTTCTTCACTTTCTCTCTCTCTCACTACATACAAAAACAGACCATTTCTCTCATCTCCATTCTCTCTCTAACTTTTTTAATCTCTCCAGATGCCCAAATCCTTTACACTCCGTCGCCACCATCATCATCATCTTCTTCTTCTCCGCCGTCTTAGATTCCATTCCCCTTCTTACTCCCACCATCACCCTCCTCCTCTTCTCCCATTTATCAACAAAAAATCTCTTCCTAGGCAATGTTGATTCTTTCCTAGAAAATAAAGAAAGAAAAGATGTCTCCTTTTCTCTTAATTGGATTTCTGATGTTGGCTTTTCTCCTAATCCGACGGCAGTGGAGATCCGCCGCCGTGAAGCGTGAGGAGGTTCTTAGACTTATTGATTTAGCCACCGAGGAATCTTATGTGGCAGTAGAGGAGGAGAAGGTTCGTGAGACAGTAGATTACTCTTCTGTTCCTCCTCCTCCTCCTGATGTTTATCTTTGTGTTGTTTGTCATTACCCAACCACTACTCGTTGTGCTCGATGCAAATCTGTTCGTTACTGGTTCGTTCTTCTCTCTCAAGTATAATTTTTTTTATTGGTTCTGTTATGCCACTCAGAGTTTAGGTTTTTATTGGTTCTGTTACACATTTGCCACTCAAAGTTTGGGGTTTTATTGGTTTCTGTTACACATTTGCCACTCAAAGTTTGGGTTTTTATTGTCTCTGTTACACATTTGCCTCTCAAAGTTTGGGTTTTTATTGGTTTTGTTATACATTTGCCACTCAAAGTTTGGGTTTTTATTGTTTCTGTTACAACAAAGATCATTCTTTTATACATTTGCCACTCAAAGTTTAGTTTTTTATTGGTTCTGTTACACATTTGCCTCTCAAAGTTTTGGTTTTTATTGCTTCTGTTACACATTTGCCACTCAAAGTTTAGGTTTTTATTGGTTCGGTTACAACAAAGATCATTTCTTTTTTATAAACGTTTTGGGTGTTTTGTAGTTCTAGCAAGTGTCAGATTCTTCATTGGAGACGAGGTCACAAGGAAGAATGTAGACCACCTTCTCTTCCTGATTATAATGGAGAAGAGGATGGTAATCAAAAGACTCTAGCTTTAAGCAATTTTACATTTGATTGCTGTGTGGTTTTTTGATGACTTGTAATCTCTCTATGCAGATGCAAAAGAATCTAATATTGAATTGCCATCTAATAATGATGACGTGTCTGTTGATCTTGCTTGTGACATCTCTAGAAGAAAACCTAGTGTTCAAAAGGTACAAGCAAGGTCTGAAGCTGTGGATTACACTACTTCTTTAAATGAAAAAGATAATTTCTATGAGACTAAGCCATTGAGTAGGAGGAAATCTCTGAGTCGAACAGAGAAGGTTGAGCCGTTGAGAAAGCATTTTAAAGGGAAGAGTGGTTTATTACCTAAGTCAGTTGATTCGGTTGAAGTGTCAGTTTCGAATCATGTTTTGTCAGAAAAGAATGAACTTGGACATGGGAAAATGACATCTGAACCATCTAGTAGTGCTCTTGCTGCTGCTACACTGTCATCTTCAACTATCTTCTTACCTTCAAAAGCTAAAGTATCACAAGCTTCTTCAAGTAGTGGGTTGAAAACATCGATGCAGAAAGTTGTTCAGCATTTTAGACCCCCAAAGTTGTCAAAACCATCTCAACCTTCAACTTCTGTCAATGAGGTTACTAGAAAATATTATTGCAAGTTGATTTTTGTATACTGCCATAATTCCATATTGATGTTGCTAATTTTGTGTGTGCAGATGAGCTTCTCTTATGAGATGTTTGTAAAACTTTACCGTGATAGAATAGAGTTACAGCCATTTGGCCTTGTGAACTTGGGGAACAGGTACATCTTTATCCATATTTACAGCTAATGTATGGACTGATAATTTTGGTATTGATAATGTTAACTCTTAAGTATATACTTATACTATTACTTGTGTAGTTGTTATGCAAATGTTGTTCTCCAGTGCTTGGCGTTCACTCGTCCATTAATTTCTTACCTAATTAGAGGAATACATTCTAAAGCATGTAAGTTTGCTCACCAAAAGCATTTTTACCACTCTTATTGTGTAAACTACTTTATCTTGGTAGTTGAATTTTCACAGGTCGAAAGAAGAGTTGGTGTTTTGTTTGTGAGTTTGAATTCTTAATTTTAAAGTCAAGAGGAGGGGAATCTCCTCTATCACCTATCAAAATCTTATCAAGATTACAAAAGATTGGAAAGCATCTTGGGCCTGGAAAGCAAGAAGATGCTCACGAATTTTTAAGGTGAGTCATATGCTTTTAGTAGCTTTTTACCCTTTTACTTTATTCAATATTTTAGCAAAGGTGAATAACATTGTTCTTTCATAAGAATGTCAGGTGTGCTGTTGATACAATGCAATCTGTTTTCCTCAAAGAGGCTGATGCAACTGGTCCGTTTGCAGAAGAAACTACTTTAGTAGGCCTTACGTTTGGTGGTTATCTTCACTCCAAGGTTATTTGATTAGCAACTGAATCGTGGCTTTTAGTACAAAGTAATCTTAGTTATTGAGATTTCATGGTCAATTATAATATAATACACAGATTAAATGCATGAAATGCCTCCACAAATCTGAGAGATCAGAGCTGATGATGGATTTAACTGTTGAGATTGGTGGAGATATAGGAAGCCTTGAAGAAGCTCTTGCTCAGTTTACAGCCTATGAAGTCCTAGATGGAGAGAACCGGTACTTGTGTGACAGGTATAAGTTGAACATGTCTTTTGGAAGCCAAAATATATATACTTAAGACTAATACAAGCTTTGCCTTTTGTCTTACCACAGATGTAAATCTTACCAAAAAGCCAAAAAGAAGTTAATGATACTTGAAGGACCTAATATTCTTACTGTGGTATTGAAACGTTTTGAGGTGAGAGTCTTGATTGATCCTCTTCTTAGTGTCTACTATTTGTAAGGTTTATCCAGAAGGTAATGGTTTTTGTTTGTATTCATGCAGTCTGATAACTTTGGGAAGCTGAGTAAACCCATTCACTTTCCTGAGCTTCTTGATATTAGCCCATATATGAGTAACCCAACTCACGGAGATCATCATCCTCCCATGTATAGTCTTTACGCAGTGGTTGTCCATTTAGATGCCACTTCATTTTCAGGTCATTACGTTTGCTACATAAAAACTATTCATGGAGAGTGGTTCAAGATTGATGACAGCAATGTAGGTGTCAATAGTATTGTCATATAATAAATTATTATACCACAATTGTTCATTTTCATTGACTCTTGATCTTTCATTCCTTATTTGCAGGTTTTCCCAGTTCCATTAGAGGCTGTATTACTAGAGGGAGCATACATGCTTCTCTATGCAAGGTAAGTTGTGTGAACATTATCAGAACAAGAACATTCTTGTTCTCTTTTGTAATATCTGAGAAAAAAAAAATCCTCTTCTTTGACAGAGATTCTCCTAGAGCTGTGAGCAAGAACGGTGGTGGTAGGAAACCAAAGGAAAGAAGAAACTTGTCTGCAATTCCATCAAGACACGACAATAACAACAAGAAGAAGAAGCAAGAGAAAGACACTAGTAGCAGTTTGTTGCCACGAGTTGATTTGTCTAGTGGAAGTTTGTCATCACTGTTTAGCTCAACAGAGACAACAAGCTCATGCAGCACAAAAGACTCATCAGGTTTTGAGAATTTATCAGATTACTTGTTTGGTGGAGTTCAACAGTCTTGGAACCAAGATCCTCATGATTCATCTGCTCAAACGTTTTATTGAATTTGATCTCCAATTTTTTTTTACTTGAGCCAGTAACCAAATATAGAAAGTGTAAAAATTTTGATTTCTTTATTCTTTAATCCAATCAAATTGTGCTACGTGTATAGATTTTATTGTACAAGATTCTAGTGAGAGCTTCTTTTTAGCTGAAACTGTTCTCAAACACAAAAACACCATTAGTGGCCGCAAAATACTACAGAGTACACACAAATACAGAGAATCCAAAAAGTATATTAAACCTCACAGTAACAAAAAAAAACAAAGGATATACTTACATAAAATAGAACATTTTTGTAGTTGCTTCATGTAGATTTGGTGTCTTTTAAGACTCCTCCTTTCTCAAGCTCTCCAACGAGGTCCCTAAGAGAGGGAACCTTCATGGCTAGAGTTCTGTAGAGTCTGGAGTATCTAGCCCTTGTGCCATCAGCTGTTCTTGCTAAGGCCAGTGAACTTAGAGCTTCGGGCAACGGACCAAACACTTGTTTCATTTCCTCTAAGCTCATGTTCTCAAGAACGGAAGGTCTTGGCACAACTCTCATGATTTCGCCTCCTATAGGTTCTTGGATTCTTGCATCCGCTTTGATCACGAGCTCTGAGTTTGAGTTGGCTCCGCATTTTATAATGAACGGAGCTGAAGAGCCTCCCGTGTTGAACTGCAGAACGTTCCATTGAGACACATCGGTTTCTGTTGGGGACATCGAGTCTAATGAAGGTCTGTTTTCTTCTTGAAGGTTGTCATCTTGTTCTGGGATGGTCTCGACCAACTGGTGAGCCGTAGCGATTTCTCTCTGTGCACATGGTTGATCAACGTCAAGAAGAGAAGGCATTCGTTCAGTGAGTTCTTCAAGAGATTCAAGTAATGCTTTCTTCTTGCTTTTACTCAAAACGTGAACAGAGGCTTGTCTTGTTATTTCCTACATGAATCAAACAGTTTTTATTCAACCATTTTCTCCTCGTCACTGATAGTAAACTAGATCAAGAAAACACTCGTGATGATAGTGTTATGAATTACCTTGACTTGCTTTAGTATGGCATCTAGAGAAATGAGAGAAGCTAATCTCGAGTCTTCGGCTGCTGTAGAAGGATTCTGAACTGGAGAAGTGCCTTCCTCCAAGTTAAACAAAGCTGCATCACTTCTCATTTGTTCCAAAATCTGTTAAAAGAGAACATGAGAATCAATGCACGAGAAAAAACTCTTTTAAGAGATAATGAAAAGGAGGATGGGGGTTACCTTTCTTCTTTTGTGATCAACAGACTCAAGAGCTGATCGAAGCTTTGCTACTTGACCAGCATCTTCTGCTTCTTCCGAAGCCAAAGTACCAGCAATATCCTAATAAAACATCCTCATGTAAGAAAGAACTCACATGGCAAACAAGTTCTTAAGCGAATAAAACCAGACGTCATCATAATCCTATATCATTTACAATATAATCTCCACATTTGACATAGCGTGCATACCTTTAGATGCTGCATCTGAGAGGTGTAGACTCGTTTCGCATACTCGGATAAAAGCTGTCCTAAAGCATCTGTGTGAGGTGGCACTGCAGCTCCTACCCCAGCCATCCAGCCATCCATAATTGCTGTGGAAAGAAGCTCTAATTGTCCTGTGGTTCCTCCCGAAGCATCATCTGCTGTAATAGAAAGAAACTCAAAGTTTTCTACTAGCCATGACCTAATCTGCCTCTGCAATTCACCAGCCGGAGTGCTAACAAATAAAGCAGCCAAGGGTTTGTTTCCAATCGCAAAACTTTTGGCGTCATCTTGTATCTCCCTCAGCTTTCCTGCAGTCACTTGCTGCCTCCCAGTATCCTAAATTATCAATTCTCATTTATTAGGTTAAAATCAAGCATCTCTTGGAATCACAGATATCTTATACCTGGTCATGTCCACGGATTCTTGAAACTACGGATACCAACTTGCTTTTCTTGTCTGGCTTTAAATTTACTTTAAAGCCATGTATCTGCTCTTCATAGTGTCGAACCGGTGATCTACCAGGGCTGCTACTCCCGCTGGAGCTTCTAGTTCGAGTAGTGTAAGGCTTCTCCAAAAAGCGTTCAACAGGAGAAACCTAAGAGAAAGTGGACTTAGTCACACACACGAGAGACATACGCCAAAATAACATTTTTTATTTATGCTCACCTTAATCGACTGAAGCTCAGGTGAACGCGCGAGTAAGGACCTTATGTACAATATCCTGACTCGAGAAACAAGCATTGTATCCATTACTCTTCTTGGCTCCATCTTCCGGATGAATGAAAAGACAACATCTCTGATCTCAGCAAGGATTTCATGCTCTCTGGATGCACCAGCCTTTATTACAGCTGCCAAAACCTGCAACTCAACAATAACACAAGTAAAAGTTCTCTAACATAAACTTTCAAAATTTTGAAGACCTATCCCAAAGAGCCATACATGTTTAATGAGTAACATAATTTATCTTCAAATTATGGTAGAACAACTCACTTATTTGCATTCCTGAATATATATATAAAAGGGTACTCAACAAAAAAAACTATTAAATCAGTGGCGGTACCAGCATCAGAAGCTTGTTTGCGCCATCAGCAATGGCTGCAAGACCTTCAAACTGTTCCGGATCAAAATCATTCAGAGCAGTTGTCAAGTATTCTCCAGCTGGAGTGGTTTTTACTATTTCAGAGCTTGATTTTACTACTGCAATTGCACCCTCATTCTTATCTACTGGAGATGGTAAAGCGCCCACACTATGTTTCCTGAAGAAAATAATTTTACAGCTCATGTGCCAAGGATGGCAGAACTGTACATTAAAAAAATTTCAAAAGTGATCAAAATAATTTACCTGTCAAAATCTGCAGGTTGAACTGTTGGTGAAGCTTTTGATGATGGGCTAGAGACCTATATAGATGAGAAAGCTTAAGACATGGATAGCCTTCATACCGACGAATGCTCAGCGTAGGTTAGAGAAAAGAATCACCTGAGTGGAACCAGCATTTGACTTTTCTGTTAGCCTGTCAAACAATTTTTCGTTTTCTTCATGCAGCCTCTGCAGAAAGCAATTACTATCTTCAGACAAAATGTTCCAAGTCCAAATAAAATTTAAATCACTCGAAAATGGAAGAGCTTATAAATGTGCTCAACAGGATGTCAAAGTATAACCTCAATTAGTGCATCACGTTTTTTCAGCTCCTCCTCAAGTTTCTTTGTAACAGCAGAGGACTCAACAGTGCTTTCAGCTGCTCTGGGATGAGATTCCAAGGGATCTGTCGATCTTGTCGTGTCAGACTTAAGGGTTTGACTCAGTTGTGATTCTAAGTCTTTAACTTTAGACTGCATAAAATTTATAAAGAAAATAACGTCATGCCTATCTTTCAGAAGGTTACTTGAAAGCAATATCACCATCTATTTCCTATTACGTAGATGCTCAAGATAAAAATAAGAGAAATGTGCCGAAGTTCAGAAAGTATGATACCACCAACCTGGAGATTTTGAATGGTGGAATCATGTTGTTGCACCTGAACCTTATGTTCTTGTTCTAACTGTAAAAGTTGAGCTATTTGATTTCTTAGCTGAGAATTCTGCTCCTTTTCTGTGTTATGCTTGTCTGCAACCATAGTAGTCTCTGACTGCACAAAAAATGACAAAAAAGGTAAATCATTAGAAGAAAGGATTATTATAAAGAAAACTAGAATAACGAGACACTATCCCACGAGACACTATCCCAGTAGCGCTGAAGAACCTTTAAATCTGATTGCAGTGTGAATGAAACTCTCCACGCCCTTTGTACTTCATTGTAGAGCAGTACACATTGGTCATTTGCTTCTTTAAGTGCTTGTTTTAAACCCGTAACCTCTTGTTTAAGACGCTGAGTTTCCCTCTCTTTCTCCAATACCTCCTTCCTGGCATCATTTGCCTGCAGGAAAATAGGATATACAAGAACGGAAGGTTAAGCTAAAAAAGTTACAAAGTATCAATGTCAAGAGACGAGAAAAGAAGGAATGGGAGGAGGATGTCATTGTCCAGTTCCACTTACCAAGTCTCTCCATTTCTTAATTGTGTCTCGATTCCCAAGGCTTGGTACCGTATTCCGAGCTCTAGCGGCATAGTTGAGACATGACATTATCTCAGACAAGTTCCGAGCACTTGGACAAATGTTGACGATCATCAATGTTTTGGAGCTCCCCCCTAAATAGAAGTTGAAGCATTGGGGAGAAAGTCTCAACACAAAGAAATATAGTAAGAGGTAAATGTAGAGGCACATGTTACGGAAAGCAGAAGCATTTACCTAGTGAATCAGCAAGTATTCTTGTAAGAAACGAGTTCTCGTAAGGAACTGTATCTTTCTTTGACGTCAGAGAGGCTAAAACATCTCCCAGCCTACAGCACTCACGATATACATAGTAAGTTAAGGAAAACAAAAACTAAATATGGATTCAAGCTTAAACTTACGCGGAAATCGAATTTGTTACATGGAGAAGATCAGTAACGTGATCTCCATTGTCATCTTCCACAGTTAATCCTTCACTTCCAGCCAGGTCAACTAAAGAGAGCTTGCTATTTACACTTTCTCCCGTAATTGTGTTGTTGTAACAAATGTGTACTGAGACAATCCTACCAAGAGAGTAGATATCAAAAAGAAAACATTATCACACTGAGAATCTTAATAGAGAGTTATATGCATAATATAAGAGTTAAGCATGAAACAGAACATACAGATGGGTCACATTAGACTTTTTCTTATCATTCCCTCTATTTTGAAGTGCAGCTTTTAGGATTCTCAAGAACTCCGATGGATTATCAACTTTTTCCTGTGAGAGCTCTATAACAGGTTCTCGTAAACCCATATTGATCTTTGGTAAGTTGCTCTGACAGCCTGGGAGTAAATCTCTGATCTAAAAACCGAAAGTTGTGAATAGAAAAGATACATTATCATGTTTCACTAATAAGCGAAAGCCAAAAGTACTAGGACATGAAACAGAAAAAGGAAGCACCTGTTCATTATAGAGCTCACACACTGAAACAGAGAA